CACATCTGTCTATATATCTCCTATTCATCCATCCATCCATCCATCCATTCATCCACTAACCCATCCAACCACTTATCCACCCATCTACCCATCATATCTGTCTATCTTCTATCTATCCATCCATCCACCCATCCGTCCACTAACCCATCCATCCATTAACCCATCCATCCACTTATCCATCCATCTGTCCATCCATCCATCCATCCATCCATCTTTCCATCCATCATGTCTATCATCTATCTAAATATCTATCTATCTATCTACCTATCTATCTATCTATCTATCATCTATCTATATCATCTATCCATCCATCATATCTATCTATCCATCCATCATATCTATCTAAATATCTATCTATCCACCTACCTACCTATTGATCCATCCATCCATCCCTACATCTATTATGCTTATATCTATGTATCTATGTATCTATTTATCTACCTATCATCTATCCAAACATATATATACACACACCCACACATACAAATTATGTCTATGATCTGTGTTGAATATAAATTATACATTGCGCTTAGACAGTGGTCCTCAGTTTATAAACACACACGGACAAACACACACATGCTGAAGAACATGGATGTGTCCACGGGTGTAACAGGGTGATCAGGTCACACATTTTTAAAGGTTAAGCACACAATCTCAGCTTCAACGCCTAAATAGTCTAAAGACTATTCATTATCTTGCTTCCATTTAATGTTAATGTGTTTATTTATACAAAGCAATTTCACCACGGAAGCAACATGTATTTGTAGCAAATTGTTATGTTGGAAAGAGGAATTTCAGGGTTTTCTACCTGCTATTCCTGGAGCAAAACCACACTTGGGGATTCCTTTCAAAGATGTGTTCTTAATTTCTGCATTACTCTAGTGACATTTTAAGGAATTATTGATGTGAGCTTGAGATCAAAGAGGAACAAATCATACAAGATCATTGAGGAACCAGCCCTGAAGTTTGTCTACCTTCTCTAAGAACACCAGGCAAATGCAAGAAATTCCCATAGATACAATGTTGTAATCATGCTACCCACACGTATAGCTATAAGTACCATGATTAAAACATGTATGTATCAATGAAAATAGCTTAAAATAAAAACAACTCCTTATGCTTACAGAGCTTTTAGGGCTTAAAACAATACAAATGTGACACAATTTTTTTTTTTTTTTTTTTTTGGTCATCACTGTGATGTCTGCATTGGACTTCTCGTTATCCTATTTTCTATACAAATATAATCTCAACTTCCCAGAATGGAGTTTTCTTAATGGAGTCACAAGGCCAACAAGAGTCTCACAACTCATGCTGGTCTGCGTTATCCACTATACACTTGAACTGTAAATTGCTTAATTAGGTATTTTGTCGGGGCGCCTGGGTGGCTCAGTTGGTTAAGCGACTGCCTTCGGCTCAGGTCATGATCTCAGGGTCCGGGGATCGAGCCCCACATCGGGCTCCCTGCTCGGCGGGAAGCCTGCTTCTCCCTCTCTCACTCCCCCTGCTTGTGTTCCCTCTCTCACTGTCTCTCTCTCTGTCAAATAAATAAATAAAATCTTTAAAAAAAAAAAAATTAGGTATTTTGTCATAGGACAGATACCTGGCTACTTGCTAACTTTGTAAGATTATTATTTCTTTTAAGATTAAATGGAAACTAATCAATGTTAGGGGTGTTCTCTTTCAATGGAAATTGTGGCCAAATTCAAAAAATAAATTTGACCCTCTCTATCTATGACGATATGTCTAATATATAATTAGATCAGAATTTTCTATCTTTCTATCTATCTATCTATCTATCTATCTATCTATCTATCTATTATCTTATCTGTCTGCCTGTCATCCCTCTATCTATCAATCATCTATCACCTATCCATCCATTCATCCATCCCTCCCTCCCTCCATACATTTGTCACATCGATCTCCCTATCTATGTATCTATTTCTCTATATATCTATCATATCTATTTATCTATCTATCTATCTATCTATCATCTATCTATCCAAACACATATATACTCACCCACACATATAAATTATGTGTATGATCTGTGTTGAGTATAATTTCCAAATTATGCTAAGACAGTGGTCCTCAAGCAGGGACAATCTCCTTTCTGTTCAGAGGCCATTTGGTAATGTCGAGAGACATTTTCGGTCGCACAACTGGGGGTGGGGAGATGCTACTGCCATCTGCTGAGTGGACACAGACGATGCTGCTCAAAACCCTGCAATGCACAGGACAGCCCCCTACAGCAGAGAATGATCTGCCCCCAAATGTCAGTAGTGTCAGGGTTGAGGGACCCTGGGCTAAAGATTAGGAACTATTCAGCAAGATGCATTAAACAGACATGGATCATAAGCTCATCTACTGCCTACCCTACATGAGAACTAACACAGAAAGTCCCTAAACAACTTTTAATGAATTTTTAAAATAAACGAATGTGTAGTCTTTAAAACTGTGTTTGTAATTCCTAAACACAAGGAATCCCCTCCCAAACCCATAAACCTCAAACCACGCCTTGTTTACACATCAAGGTTGGGTCAAACATGCATCTGGCTTTGTCTGCAATCCTAAGCAGGAAGTGTTAGGGGTGGGGTTGGTCACTGGTTGGCAGAAGTCTGGGTGTCGGTGGCTTTCAGAAGTCCAGGAGGTGACGTTCAGGAAAGTGGATGAGGTGAAGGTTCTTCTTGCTTCCCTTGTGCAGACTTCACGCGTATTCACTGATTGAATGCATTTTGGGGTACAGTCAGAGTACTTCAAAGAAACTGAGACCCGTCTTTCCACTGTCCCCCGGAAAAGGGCATGTGAAAGACAGAACAGCTGACCCTATTTCCCAGAGAGGACCTGACATGTCCCAGGCACACACTCTTATCCTGTTGCTCCTCCATTAAGAAGGGGTCTACATGCCCTCCCCTGGGAGTTGAGATGGACTTACCCTGACCCCATGTCTTAGTTTGCTACGGCTGCTGAAACAGCACCACGGGCCGGCGGCTTAAACACCACAAACACTAGTTTGGGAAGCCAGAAGTCCAAAATGAAGGTGTGGGCAGGGCTGGTTCCTCCTAGAGACTCTGAGGGTGAAACTTCTCATGCCTCCCCGAGTTTCTGGTGGCTTCCGGAGATGCTGGGTGGCCCTGGGCTTGCAGATGCATCAGTCTCTGCCTCCTCCTTAACAGTCTCTTCCTCTGTGTGCATTTCCCGTTTTTTCCCCATATAAGGACATGCATTGCTGCGTTTAGGGACCACCTGGTTAATCCACGATGATCTCATTTCAAGATCGTTATTGACATCTACAAAGACCCCTTTTCCAAGTTAGGTCCTATTACCACGTCCCAGGTGGGCATATCTTTTTTGGGGGGGAGGGGGGTGGGCTAAGGTGTGTCACCCCTCAACTAAGTACGTGGTCCATGAAACACAAGATCCAGACCTCACATCCACTGGCCTTTCAGCCGTATGGCAGAATCTCAACGTTTTGCCCAAGGATTGGTGAATCCCCGTCCTGGGAATGAAGATTTATCCAGACGCCTTCAGATTCCTTCACGGTGACATCTTAGGAATTGTAGACCTCTCAGACACATTTTCAAATCCTGCTACTTAGATCTTCACCCCCTGGCCAAGATGGAAGCATGGTCTGCATTGAAAGGTGCCCTGTCCTGCCACGGAAGGGTGGATCCATTGACAGACGAGCTTCCCCTAAACTCTGCAGCTCACTTCACTGAACACTGTTGTCCATCTTTGGGAAATCTGAGTCTCTTTTCACGTTTCCTGGACAAACCCACAGAGACCCCTCACTTTTAATAGCTAAAGCTCTGCCATAGGGTGTATAGTGAACTTCGGTTCCACGCATCTCTGTACAGCACCCTAAATTCATTCCTAAATGTGTTTTGAGGTCTGTATTCCTCAGGGATTTCACACCGCAGAACGTCCCTATCCCAGGAAGGTCTTTTCTCTTTGTATTTACCCAAGCTTATCTGCAACGCTTACCTCATCTTTCTTCCAACACACTCAGCAAAACCCCAAACAAACGATACCCAGCACTCGTCTTGTATAAAGAGCTGCTGTTTATTATGTATGTGCATCATCTTGTTGGGGGTGCTGGTGGCCCCAGGTAAACCCAACTGAGAGGTGCACGAAGCATCCTTCGTGGTTCCGTATTTGAGTCTGATTCCAGGCATGAGCTTACAGATGGTCTTCTTCTTCCTCCAGCTATGTGGGATCTCTCTATTCTTGAATAGTGTCTGCAACTACTCAGGACTATGACCATATCGCCTAAGGCTGTTCTGAACTGGACTTCCTGGGTCTGATGCTGATTGCCTCATTATGGCACACAGCTGTACCTCAAACAAAAACAAAGCAAACCACTTCTGTATCTTCTTCCCAAGGACACTCTGTACCCTTCTGAGTAGAACAATATTTCAGACACAGGGACATCTTCCAAGATGCGATCAGGGTCTCAGCCTCCCACTGGGGGCTTAGTCTGGACCCCTGTAGGAACAGTGACCCACACAAGTCACCTCATGTGACCACATGCATACAGTTGGAAGGGTCTCCGTACTGGGCATGGAGATTTCCTTACTCTTGGTGTCACTGGCAATTGGATCACCTCCTTCATCTTGGACAGCTGAGCTCTTCCTTCAGGCTCTCAAAACAAAATCACATATGTTTGATTCCCTCTTCCCAGACCAATTTCTCGTGGGAACTTGGCACCCAATGGACAGCTCCAGAGTTACATTTCTGCAGTTCTGAAGTAGCCCCGACTTGCCTGCTTCAACTGAACAATCCTGGCTCCAGCATTAAGCAACAAAACCTCCATGCATCAAAGGATGCCAGGCGACCTTTGTGTCCCTAGCTTCAGCCCCAGATCCAATCTGGCAGAAACCAAGTGTTACATCCTTTGCACTCTTGCCCAACAGCCAAGCTGGGCATGATCTTTAAAACCAGCCAAGTACATTCCTTAGGAATACATCACGGTTTCTTTTTCCTCTTCCTTATATATCTCAAGGCATTGTAGAGTGAGACCTGTTCTTATAAATTCAAAAATAAATAAACAGTAATTAGTGGCATGAGAGATTCATAGCCCATAATTTTTAGCCCCATGTGGGTTGGTCTAATTATACCCAAGAAACCGTAAAAAATTGGAGTGGGGAGATCTTTCCCTCCGTCGAATGTGGGGACATACAATTTTCTCAGAGGTTTCATTTTTGGATTTACTTTTCCCTTTGTCTGTTCGGCCTCCATCAGCTTCATAAATATGGATTGAACCGTAGGAGCTGTTTGTGCTGGGATGTCGTGTCAGCTCTGTTGGGCATCGATGACCCGGATTGCATCTCTCCCGGTAAACAGATTGTTATAGGATTTGTGTCCTTTAGAGCTCACGGTTCTTGCTCACACCGCTGGGAAGAATGAAGAGGTAGACCAGATGGTGAGTGGTGGGCAGCAAAGCAATGTTTATTGAGCAAAAGTACAAAGCTCCCAGAAAGGGAGACCCCAATGGGTTTCCCCCCAAGTTTCTAAGTTTAAGGTTTTTATGAGCTCTTTTGCGGGACTATCTTAAGCAATCGGGGTGTGCTGAGTTGTGACAATCAGGGCTTTAGTCATGTATCTGTCGACCTATTAGGTTCATGTCTACATGCTGACATTTGTTTTTTGTTTTTTGGTTTTTCTTCTGACATCTGGGGGCTTGGGTCTTAACTACCCCTTGACTGTGATATTGACAAATGCTTTTATGGTTCATTGTCTTATTTTAGGACATTTTGCAGAAGTCATTTCTGCAAAGGCTGCAAAGCAGAATGTCAGTGTGGTCCTGTCTAAGCTGCAAAATAGGAAGTCAGTGCTGTTTGATCTTAGCTGTCCTGACTCCATATTTTCTTGTTGGGGACCCTGGTGCTGACTCCCTAACTGTCCAACTCTCTGCCAACAAGGTGACTGCCCCAGCTGCCGGGTGGCATGCCTTCTGAGCTGCTTTTCCACTGAGGGTGGTGTGTTCCTTCTTCCTCAGCGCGCTGGGCCCTCAATGACCGTATGACCTTCAGCACGTCTTGGAGATGGCCACAGAGGGGGTTCCACGTACCCAACACATGACCTTCACTCTCCTGGCAGCCAACACAATTAATGTATTCTGCTTTTTTATTTTGTTGTTTTATTTTATTTTGTTTTGTTTGATTTCGTTTTGTTTGATTTTATTTCATTTTGCGTTATTTGATTTTATTTTGTTTTGTGTTGTTCTGTTTTCTGTTTTGTTTTATTGTATTATATTGTCTTGTATGGTATTTTTTCAATCAACATGTTTTAATACCTGATATCAAGGAACAGCTCCTGTTCAGAAAGTCAAACCGAACACAAGTGATGTAATGTGATCCCTCCCGTCATCCTGAATTGATTTACCCTCCTCATCGCAAAGCCCTGTGTTTCGGGGATCCCTTCTGGAAGGTCTGCACAGAGCGTCCCTGAGCCCCCAGAATGGCATATGGTTTCACATCGCACAAATACATCCTATGAGGCAAGGTGTTCCTTATCATATTACTCTGAGATCTTTCCCACAAATATACATGTACAGATCACCTTCCTTTATTGTTTTTTTTTTTTTATGGCTATGACATAGTCTCTTGGAAGGGCATGCCTCGATTTATTTTTTTTATTTTGTAGAATAAATAGACGTCATTGCTTGGAGCCGTTTCAGGTTCACAGAAGCATGCAACACAACGTGCAGATGGTTCCCACGTCCGCCTGGCCCTGCACCCCGTTTCCCCTCTTACAAACATCTCCCATAACTGTGGTACATGCCTTACCGTTTCTGAACCAGTATCAACGCATTCACACCCCAAACCCACAGCATCCATCAGGGTTCACTCTGCTGGTGCACAGCCTCTGGGTTTTGCAAAACTCATCGACCCACCAAGAGGGCATCCCGCAGAGGTGCCCCACTGCCCTACCACGCATTAATTCATCTCGTCACCACTATTTGCTGCTGCAGAACCCCAGAAGCCTCCACCCCCGCCCCCCCGGCTCTCGGTCCTCAGCAGAATCCCTCGAGGAAATAGGAAAGGTGTCTGAGCCGCCACCCCGAGACATGCATCAGTGGGGCCCTGCTAGAGCCCACACTCTGCAGGGTTTTCCAGCGTTTCATGGACTTCTCCCCAAGTCTGGGTCTTTGAAGCCTATTGTCCACTCAGCAGGTACACGGATCCTTTTATTTATTCTTATTTAATTTTTTTTAATTTAAAAAAAGATTTTATTTATTTATTTATTTAAGATTTTATTTATTTATTTGAGAGAGAGAGAGCACAAGCGGGAGGGGCAGAGGGAGAGGGAGAGACAGAATCTCAAGCAGACTCCATGCTGAGTGTGGAGCCTGATGTGGGGCTCGATCCCAGGACCCTGAGATCATGACCTGAGCCTAAACCAAGAGTCGGATGCTTAACCCAATGAGCCACCCAGGCGCCCCAAAAGCATTTTATTTATTTAGAGAGTGAGTGCAAGCTGGGGGAGGGGCAGAAAGAGAGAGAATCCCAAGCAGACGCCACACTGAGCGCCAAGCCCAACGCGGAGCTCGCTCTCACGACCCTGAGATCATAACCTGAGCCAAAATCAAGAGTCGGAGGCTCAACCAACTGGGCCACCCAGGCGCTCCTGCAAGGATCCTTTTAATATTGAGCCTGGCAGGTGACTTTCCCGCTTACAATTTGACAGCCGTGCTGCATTTTGCTCGGAGTTTGGGTTGCCAAATAAAATACAGGATACCAGCGGAACTCAAATTGCAGATAAACCGTGAGTGATGTTTTTAGTGTAAGGATGCCCAAATATTGCATGGGACATACTTATCCTGTAAGAATTATTTGTGTTTTGTGTGAAATTCAAATTCATCTGTGCTTTTAGTATACGTACATCCCAAATTGTGCATGGGATATACTTATAATAACAGAATTATTCATTATTTACTTGAAATTCAGATTCAGCTAGTTGATTAGTGTAAGTATATCCCAAATATTACACAGGACTTATATATTTTATATATACTTATAATAAAAGAAGGATTTGTTGTTTATCTCAAATTCAAATCCATCGCCACATTTAGTATAATTATGTCCCAAAGATTGCATGGGCGTTACACTCAAATTCAAATTCAACCAGTGGCCTAGTGTGAGTATGTCCCAATTATTACATGGGACATACTTAGAATAAAAGAATTATTCATTATTTGAAATTCAAATTCAACTGGGTGTTGAGTGTAAGTACATCCCCAATACAGAATGGGATATACTTACACTAAAACAACTATGTATTGTTTATCTGAAATTCAAAGTGATCTTGGTGTTTAGCCTAAGTATGTCCCAAATATTACATGGGGACATATTTTATACTAATATATATACATATATATACATATTTTATACTAATATGTATATATTAAGTATATACACATATATACTATATGTATATTATATATATTATATATATATTTATATATACATTGTTCATCTGAAATTCATCTTGGTGTTTAGCCTAAGTATGTCCCAGATATTATATGGGGATATATTTTATACTAATATATATACATATATATACATATTTTATGCCAATATGTATATATTAAATATATACACATACATACTATATGTATGTTATATATATATACATTGTTTATTTGAAATTCATCTTGGCGTTTATCTTAAGCATGTTCCAAATATTACATGGGGGACATATTTTATACTAATATATATATATTAAATATATACATATACACTATACATATATATTATATATATTTATATATACATTGTTCATCTGAAATTCAAATTCATTTTGGTATTTAGGCTAAGTATGTTTCTTTTTTTTTTAAAGATTTTATTTATTTGACAGAGAGAGCACAAGCAGAGGGAGAGGGAGAAGCAGGCTCCCTGCTGAGCAAGGAGGCTGATGTGGGATTCGATCCCAGGACCCTGGGATCATGACCTGAGCTGAAGGCAGACGCTTAACCAACGGAGCCACCCAGGAGTCCCAGCCTAAGTATGTTTCAAATATTACATGGGGACATATTTTATACTAATATATATAATATATATATTAAATTTATACATATATATACTACCCATATATTTTATGGATATATGTATTATATATATATGTCTGTGCATATATATATACACACAGACATTGTTCATCTGAAATTCAAATTTCACTGGGCATCCTGCATTTTTTTTAAAGCTTTTATTTTTAAGTAATCAGTAATCTCTACACCGAGCGTGGGGCTGGAAGTCACAGCCCGGTGATTAAGAGTTTCATGCTCCGCTGACCGAGCCAGCCGGGCGCCCCTCATCCTGCATTTTTATTTGCTCAATCTGGCAACGCTACCTGGAGGAAGGGGCAAACTCATCATAAGGGCTTGCTAGGGTCCTACCCTCTGCAGCTGGGCCTGCTACACTCAGTCCACGCTGTCCCTGTCCCTTCCCCTGACACGCACTCCCTGGCTCCGACCCTCCTTCAGGTCATTGTTCAAATCCCACCCCCTCTGCAAGCCCTCCTAGATAAGCACAGACGCGCCCATATCTATATGTAAATCATCCTACATCTCCGCACATACATGTATACGGTAAGGTATAAAATATTAACGTGTACTTATACCCATGTAATTATATGTATAGAGTGAAAACAGATAATTACTGCATTCCACACGCACCCCCTCCCTCCGGCCCTCCCACTTTGCTATTTCTGTTTTTCCAGCCAGTACGTCACATCCTCTCAACAACCTGTAATGCTCATTGTCCTTCGCTCCCCAGTGGGATCCAAGCCCCAGGAGATGGGGATGTGGGTCTGCTTATCCCTGTTTCACCGAAATGCCCACACTGGGAGTGCCTGGCACTTGGTACGGTCTTTACCAGCCTTGGTTGTTTCAAACTCTGCTGCAATGAGCCGTCTTCCCCAAATGCCTTCACAGGCCAGGGCACATTTCCCCAAACACACCCAGACGAGCAGGTGCATGTGACCATCGTGACGGTCACTTCCTGATAATCCTCCATAACGTTTGCACGCACTGACACTCTCACTTTTGGAGTCCTGCAGTGCCCGTGGCCTGGAAAGCCAACCTATGTGGGGTGCTGTGTATGGTGCCCATCATGTGGGGGGACTGGACACCCAGCTTTGAGCTAAGCTGCCTTCCTCCATTGGGAGAGGCTGAGAGACTTTTCTCAGGGGTTGGCACAGACCCGAGGACCGGCTGGGGCACAGACTCAAGTCCCTGATGACAACCCTCCAAGGCAGCAGAAACAGGAGCCCCAGCCCCTACACGACTATCAAGATCCAGGGCACAAAGGCCACACAGATATTTTGCACGCTAACATCTGCCTTTAAAATTAGCTTATGTACTTGTAAATTTTGCATGCTTTAAATGATTATAAATGCACACATCAATATATATATACACACACACATAAATATGCACAAGCATGTGGCTTAATAGATATTTAAGTTTGTATATATATGTATATATGCTTATACACACTTAGGTTGATATTTGTATATATGTTTATACATATTTGTCTACTATGTATACATATATATTATATTGTAACATATATATTCTGTATACAGACAAACATATGTCTATATAAAAACGTGTATATATTTTTCCTAGACAATACAAACACAAATATGCCTTTCCTTTATGGTTTCATGGTTTCTTAGAAAATTTTCCCTGTCCCCAAATGATGTATATATATATATATATATTTAAAGATTTATTTATTTATTTGACAGAGAGAGACACAGCGAGAGAGGGAACACAAGCGGGGGGAGTGGGAGAGGGAGAAGCAGGCTTCCCGCTGAGCAGGGAGCCCGATGTGGGGCTCGATCCCAGGATCCTGGGACCATGACCTGAGCCGAAGGCAGACGCTTAACCAACTGAGCCACCCAGGTGCCCCTAAATTATATATATATATTTTATAAATGCAGTTATTATACGTTTTTTATTGTTACCCTTTTAAAGTCTGTATTTCATCTCATACTCCACGATTTTATTTTTACACACGCATCTTGACACGTGGAGAATTGATCCTGGCATGAAGGAGCCAAGAGGAAATCCCCTTTTTAGAAACTTTAAATCGCCATCCAGTTGTCTGCATAACATTTCCTGGGTAAGCTGTGCTCTCTCCACCACATGCAGATGGCAGGTGCGCTCTGGACTCCAGAGAAATGCACCTCTTGAGGTCTTTTCTGCTGCAATACCAAACTATTTTTTAAAGTCCGGAAAACCGAGTTCCCATGTGATGAGAAGTCTCCTTTTCTCAGCATTCTGGAATCCCGGCTCTCACGCGGGCTCTCCCACATCAACCATTTGCCTCGCAGGGTCAGGCTGCGACGTGCGCTTTGGTGGGCTGATGCCGACCCATTCCCGAGGAATCCTACTCACCAAGCTCTTTCCTCCAAGGTCAGGGCATGACTCTGCCTTCGCTCACACCTCCCTCGCTCATGCTTCACGACTCCTCAAGTTTCCTCCTTACAAGTCTTGCCACGATAAATACCGATGACTCACTGAAAACTATCTGGTTTGCAGATAAGACCCCGTAGATGTTCTCGTTCCTCCGTCCTGGAAATGAAGATTAAACGCACAACCACCAGCTTTCTAGCAAGATCTGACAGAACTCTCAGTCCAATCTGTCACATCACGGAAACCGGTTTCCAAACCTCTCCATTCGTATCTTCTAGGAAATCATTTCTTGTGCTCTGAAGTCAGCTTCCTCATTACAAGAAAATATATGAAACACTGAAAAATAAAAAGTATAAAGATTCTCAGAATGTAATAATAACACCCCCCCCTTTTTTTTTTTACTATTTACGATGAGTGCAGAGATTTCCCCACACGAACAAAAAAGTAGACACACCCCTCTATCTGGATGTTGAATGTATTTCTACGTTTTTCTCTATCATAAAAACTGCCTTGAATAATGGGTGTATTACTTTGCTAGGGTCACTGTAACAGTATTCACAGGACACACATTTATTCTCTGATAGTCCTGGAGGCTGGGAGTCTGAGATCCAGGCAGGGCTGAGGCTGGGAGTCTGAGATCCAGGCAGGGCTGGGGGCTGGGAATCTGAGATCCAGATGGGCTGGAAGCTGGGAGTCTGAGATCCTGGTGGGGCTGGAGGCTCGGAGTCTGAGATCCAGGAGGGGCTGGAGGCTGGGAGTCTGAGATCCAGGCAGGGCTGAGGCTGGGAGTCTGAGATCCAGGGATTGGAGGCTGGGAGTCTGAGATCCAGGTAGGACCAAACCTGGGAGTGTGAGATCCAGGCGGGGCTGGAGGCTGGGAGTGTGAGATCCAGGGGCTGGAGGCTGGGAGTCTGAGATCCAGGCAGGGCTGAGGCTGGGAGTCCGAGATCCAGGCAGGCCCGAGGCTGGTTCCTCCTGAGGCCTCTCTCCTGGGCGTGTAGACCGTGTTCTTCCTGTGTCCTCATGTGGTCATCCCTCTGTGCAGATCTGTGTCCTCATCCCCTCCTCTTATAAGGACCCCAGCCTATGGGATCAGGGTCCACCCTACTGACCTCATTTTACCTTAATCCCCTCTTTAAAGACCCCATATCCCAATACAGTCCCATTCCAAGGTCCTGGGGGTTTGGGCTTCAACTTGCAAATTTTGGGGGACACTATCCAGCCCCTAACCATGGCTAATCTTGATCACAAAGCCGTCGATATTCTCCAAAATTTAATTTTGAAAAATAAATTCACAGACATAAAGTGAGACCGAAATGTATGATCACTTCTAACACTGTAAGGCTTCCACTAATGGACATTACCACTAAATGTGTGTTAAGAATTCTCTGGTCTGCATGGAATAGCTCATCTTTCTTTCTTTTTTCTTTTTTTTAAAGATCTTATTTATTTATTTGCGAGAGAGAGAATGAGAGACAGAGAGCATGAGAGGGGGAGAGTCAGAGGGAGAGGCAGACTCCCCGCCGAGCAGGGAGCCCGATGCGGGACTCGATCCCGGGACTCCAGGATCATGACCTGAGCCGAAGGCAGTCGCTTAACCATCTGAGCCACCCAGGCGCCCTCTTTTTTTTTTTTTTTTTTTTAAGATTTTATTTATTTATTTGAGTGAGAGAAAGAGAGATCACGAGCAGGGGGGAAGGGTAGAGGGAGAAGCAGACCCTGAGATCATGACCTGAGTCCAAGGCAGATGCCCAAATGACTGAGCCACCCAGGCGAGCCCGTAGCTCATCCTCCTAATGTTAGCTGGGTTAAAAAAAAAACAACAAAAAACAGTGGCCACTTTTGTTCTTTGATACATTTCTTTGTTACTTATTAGCAACATTTTTTCCTCCCTATGTGAATGACCCCCAGTATGCCTTTTTGGCAGGGGTTTATTAGTACATTAATGCCCTTTTTGACCAGATATCAGTTTGGCTTTATGTACCATGCACACTGCCCGTCAATGTATTTTAGTTTTGTTTATATTTCCGTAACTTTCTCACATTTTTGGGTAGTGGGATCTGTTCATCTACTTACCCCCGTGGTTCTATTTCTGACAAGTTTAGAGCATCCTTCCACGACCACACAGGGATTTGAAAACCGGCCCCGGGATTTTCTTCTAGTTTTATTGTTTTGATTTTATCTCCCCTGGACACCTGATATTCCTGGAATTTATTTTTCCCTTCTTGCGACGTCTTCCCGGTATTTTTAAAGACAGTACAAGGTGAGTATCTAAGTAGCATTTAATCCCAAACAGATAACAGTTTGGTAACTAGTATATCATTTACGATGGCTGGAGAAACACACAACTCGATTTGAGACAATTTTTCTCATGTTACTTTGTCAGACTCTTGAGTTACTTAAAAGCTTGAGAGGCTAGCCCAGGAGCCAAAAGGAGTGGAAAAGCTTATCTGACCCCAGTGATAAGGTCAGGGCACTTGTTTGCATTTTGCAAAGCGTGATGCAACCGTGTGCATTCAATATCACGGCTTAGATTTCCCATAAACCTCTCCAGCATCTGAGAAGCACCATCTCTCGGGCATCTCTTGGATGAAGAGTAAACTCAGCAAAGTCTAATTATAGGCTCGTCCGACCCAGAAAGTGCTACCCCCAGCAATGCTTCCTATATGGTTTTCTTTGAAATCACTCAAGAAAAGCCTCCGAGTAAATAGGCACGTTTGGAAGCATTATTTTTAGAAGTCAGCGCTCCATGCACAAATAAGCACGTCCATCTGCCTTGGGATGTGTTCAGATTTTCAAAACTTTGACTTGGCGAGACAAGGGAGCCTCAGGGTTTTGCTTGATTTTAGTGACTGATGACTCACTGATCGTACTTCAGTCTGCAATTATTTGAGGACTCATGTTTCTACCCTGGGATGACTTAATTGTTCTGAGCCCATTTGGAATTTATGACCTCCCCACCCAGGGCGCTGTGTGTGGTGTCTCCGTGGTGAAAACTTCCTTTGCATCACCGGGCACGGCGTTTCGAGGGCAGCTTCACCTGGTTTGAACACGTGTTGGGTTTTTTTTTTTAATTGGGGTCTTTTTTGGGCGGGAGATCAGGGCATTTCTAAAACAAGTGAGGTTGGAGCAGTTTGGAAACTGGATCCCGTCTGCATGAAAATATGGCACCTGGTGCCCAGACACACTGCTGTGCGTGGGGGTGACTCAGCGGGGCTCACGCTGGAGCAAGGCACGGACTCGTGTGGCTACACATATAATTATAAAATAAGTTTCATCACCTCTGATTACTCACGATTGGCCTGGCTCCATCCACGAAGGCCCAAGTGCCCAGCACTGTCACAGAACGTAACCCACGAACTAGGTTACCATGAATTCCCTAACACATTAAACCCACGGGGCCGTCCCGTCACCAAGAAGAAATGAGAACCACAAGCCTGCAAAGCTGGGAACAGCGCGTGCTGCTCAATCTTGGAATCACTCCTAGCTAAGAAAATGTTCATCGGTGGTCAACGAAAACACCCAAGCCCCGATAACTGCCCCTGAAACAGCTCGTCTGAGAAACTGGGAGCAAATACACTGACCACGGAAAACCACCCTGTTCTATTCCTACTACACAGGGGGCACCCAGTAGGGAGCTTTGTCTGCATTACGGGGAGATCTAAGGAGTGAAGTCTGAAACCCTAAGCCTGTAGCTAAACACCCACCAGAATTTTCTGCCTGCCTCCAAAGACCAAATCCTAAGTGGACAGATCTTCCGGCATCCAGTGATTAAAAAAAAACCTCCCATCCCTGGCTGAGTCCAGATTCAATGCATTGCTCCATTGTTTGAAGGATCGCTTTCCAGAAGCCCTGGGAAGGCCTCTTCTAACAAAGTATGGAAACCCACCATGTATATTTCTAAAGTATGGGTTTATCTCACTGAGGGACAATACACAGGGATATATTTAACTCAAAATATATAGGGGTGCCCGGGGGGCTCAGCCCGTAAAGTGTCTGCCTTCGGCTCAGGTCATGATCTCAGGGTCTTTTTTTTTTTTAAAGGATTTTATTTATTTATTAGAGAGAGAGAGAATGAGAGACAGAAAGCACGAGAGGGAAGAGGGTCAGAGGGAGAAGCAGACTCCCTGCCGAGCAGGGAGCCCGATGCGGGACTCGATCCCGGGACTCCAGGATCATGACCTGAGCCGAAGGCAGTCGCTTAACCAACTGAGCCACCCAGGCGCCCCATGATCTCAGGGTTTTGAGATCGAGCCCTGTGTGGGGCTCCCTGGTCAGCGGGGATCCTGCTTCTCCCCCTGCTTGTGCTCTCTCTTTCATAAATAAAGAAAATCTTTAAAATATATATACTTATATTTTTTCATATATAAACATATGCTTATAAATATAAATTGTAATGTTCGCAAAGGCAGCTGAACATGTCTTTTAGAATATATATATTAGAATTTATAATAAAATATATTAGAATATACATTACAGAATGTTAGAATATACTCTATAATATATGTCTAATAATATATATATAAGTTGTAAAGTGTGAAGGCAGCTGAACACGTCTTTTAGGATATACATGTTACAATTTATAATAGAATATATTAAAATATATTAGAATATATTATGTTACAACATAATATATAATCTACATATCATTTTATGTATATATAAGTTGTAAAGTCTGTGAAAGCACTCTTTTAGAATACAGATAATAAAATATTTTAGAAGATATATTCTAGAATACAGTAGAATATAATGTATATAATATATAATATGTATACATTGTAAAGCCTGTGAAGGTAACAGTATACTTTTTAATTTTAACTCAGTATCTACACACTCACATATACACACACATACATATTTATGCACCTACATTTGTATGTATTTGTATGTATATTTGTATGCACGCATATATATTTGCTTGTATAATATATGCACACATATGCATGCATATACACAAAATACATACGTATTCGAAATGAAGAATTCGCATACCGGGATGGTTGTGCGTTGTTTCGCGAGTCACAGGCTGTGGTTTCTGAAGAATTTTTATGATCCTTCCAGATGAAAGCTGCTTTGTACAGCAAGGTGTTGCAAAACCTGCCCGGGATATTTATAGGAAGAGGTAGGTATGTGGTCAGTCTCAGGGGCCGGAGAGGAAGGAGTCGCATCAACTCTGCAACCCAGAGTTGAATTCTGAAAGTTTGTCCCTAACCCTTTTCTAAAAGCCTGGGTGCCCCCGGAAGGAAAAAGCATGTCCTTAATTGACCTAGCCTTAACCACTAACCCTAGCTACCTAAGAGCATCAGAGTGGCAAGGGAGACGGGGACGTACCCCCGAGGACAGCCCTGGGTCCCCCCAATCGCTCAGGAGGGCCTCGTGGCCCGAGCGCCTCCCTGTTCCAAGCCGGTGCACGCGGCCTGCTCAGGGCACGCATTTTTTGCATTCCAGCTCAAGATTTGGCAACAAGCAAAGACAGCCAAGGGCCAGACAGCCGCACCCCGAGCTCGCATCTGATTTCCTGTGGCCCCCTCCCAGTTGGCCAAGCCAGGCAGACGGGGCCTGGGGTCTGTAAAAATACAGCCCCCTCCCCGAATCCAGGACACCCCCCGCCCAAGGGCGGAATGGCCGAGATGCCTCCAAACGAGGTGGGAGGCGGTAGGTATGTCCTCTCTTTGGAAGCTCAAAGTGTGGTCCACGAGGCCGCAGCTGGGAACAGCCCTTCCCGGCCCCGCGTTTTAGCCGGATGCCCGGGGACAGGGTGGCCAGATAAAAGAGAGAATGTCCAGTTACATTCCAGTTTCGGATACGCACCAGTCATCTCTTGTGTACAAAAGTATATCCAAATACGGCCTGGGACCTACCCTGCGGGAGTTGGGGTGGGGGTGGGACACTCCTTGGGTATCTGAAATGCAAATGGATCTGGGGCGCCCTGCATTTCTTTTCCAAAATTGTGCCAGGTGTGTCTAAAACAGCGAGCCATCCAGGGGCACGCGTGGCGTTTGGGTTTTTTTTTTGGGGGGGTTCTCTCTCTTAAACCTGTGTCTCCTTGTTTTTGTTTAAAAGATGGTTTTTGGAAATAGTCATGGACTCGTAGGAAGGTGCCCAGAAACTGGAGGGAAGGGGGAGCCCGGCGCACTCGCGCGCCCGCCCCTCCTCCCTTAGCAAGCATTTTGCATCACCACGGTCCCCCCGAGAAACCAGGAAGCGGACACGGGCAGCCGCCCTCGGGGACGCGCCGGCACCGAGTAGCAGCCTCCGGAGCGTCCCATCAGCCTTCAGCTCCGGTTCCGCTCGATTTTTTAACTTTTGTTGGAGGCACGCCCTCCCCGTGCCCAGCGCGCCCCGCCTCCCACCCTTCCGGGCTGGGGCGCCAGGAGCGCGGTGGCCTGCCCGCACGTCCCCCGGGGGAGCTGGGCTGGGCTGCGCTGGGGACCGCACCCCTGGGGCGCCCCCGGCGGCGCAGGGGGCGCGGCCACCTCCCCAACGCCAACCCGCCCCCGCGCGCCGGCCTCTCGGATCCGGGCCTAGGGCGCGGCGGGGGCGGGGCGCGGGGGCCCCAGCGACACCCCGGTCGGCGGGCCGAGCCCGGGCGGGCGCCGGGGCGGGCCGGAGAGCGCGCGGCCCCGCCCAGGCCGCTTCCGCCCGGCCCCCCAGCAGCGCGCACGCAGCGCGGGCGCGGGAGGCGGCGGGCGCGGGCCACGAGGAATGAACAGGGAGCCGGGCGCCCGCGGCCGGGACCCCGCCTCGCCCCCGCCAGCCCGGGCCGCGCCCCCCGCCCCGGCCGCGCCGCCGCCCCCGCCGCCCCCGCCGCCCCCGCCGCCGCCGCCCGGGCCCCCGGGCCCGCCCCCCGAGGCCGCCGGCTACTCCCACCGGCTGTTACTGCTACTGCTGCAGTGAGCGCCGCCCCGCGCCCCGCCATTGTCCCCGCCGCTCCGCCAGTCGCGCCGGGCCGCGGACCGGGAGGCGGGGAGCGCGCATGGCTGGGCGTCGCTGATGCTGCCGCCGCCGCCGCGCCGCCCTCCGAGGCTGCGTCCCGGGAAGCCCGGACCTCCGCGCTGCCCGGCCCGGCCCGGCGCCCCGGACTGGAGCGCGCCCCCATGGAGGCGCCCGGGCTGGCCAAGGCGGCCAAGGCGGCCGCGACGGGCCCCGAACCTCAGGAGAGCCGTGGGGACACCCCCGACGGGGCGCCCGCGCTCTGCCCCAGCCCCGAGGCGCCCTCGCCCGAGCCGCCAGCCTACCGCCTGCAGGACTTCGACACGCTGGCCACCGTGGGTGAGTAGGGCGCGCGGGCATCCGGCCCGCAGGTCCCTCGGCGCCGCCCGGGACGCTGGCGTCAGACAAAGGGCCGGCGTGCCGTCGCCCGGCTGCCTCCCTGAGCCGGCCCTGCCCGGTCCCGTCTGCTCGGGGCGTCCGCGCGGGCTGGCCGTGCGCCCCTGGACGCTCGGGCGCGCCCAGAGTTGGAAGGGTGTCCCCCCCGCAAGCTCCCGCGAGCCTCCCCAAGTGCCCGCGCTCAGTCCCGCGCCCCAGGACTCTCCTTCTTTAGAACTCGCCTCCCCCTCCCTCAGTCCCCCTGGCGTCTGTGCCACCGGACGTCACAAAACTTCCTGGGGGTCACCTCATACGAGGGCCCTGGCCCGCCCTCCCAGCCAGCGGCCCCTAGGGACAGAAGCGGCGGCCCAGAGGCACCTGCGGAGCTCTGTTTGGCCAGCCTCCCTCTGCCCAGTGGCACGATGCTCCCGCGTAGACTTGAGACCTCACCGGGGGCTTGGAGGGGACAGGTATCCTGGGGCGCAACGGGGCCGCGCGGGAGTGGGGAGGGGGGGACAGCCGGCGCTGCAGATGAATTACCCTTTCCCGACACCGCGCGAGCTTTTCATCTCGTGCATCGAAGTTGGCACTGTTGATCAGACACGGATTTGCTTTTGTCCTCTCCCCTTTGACTGTGGTCGCAGTTGGGCGTCTAGAAATAGTTTCCAGTCTCCCCCCCACCCCACCCCATCACGCCTGAATCCTGAAAGGCGCTGGGATATTAGGGGGCGGCGCTGACTGGGCTAGAAAATCCCCACCCCAGGTTGGAGCTGGGTTCGAGTGGTCGGTGCAACCCCCTATGGCTTCTTAGCAGCTCTTTGTTGCTCCCAGGGCGCATCGGACACGGGTTGCTTTTCCGAGACATAAATGGGGCCGGGGACAAGCCACATGTCACCGAGGGGCTGTGGTGTTGAGGGACTTTTCCTGGGTCCCCTGCCCCGCTTCTGGAAAGGAGGAAGCTGGGAAGGGAATCAGGAAGCCGGGGCTCAGGGTCACGGCCTAGGATTGAATCAGACCGACAGGCACAGCCAGATTGGCATTGTAACCAACCGTCAGCAGAGAGGGACACTTCTCTTTTCGGTTCCTGGTCTCCCTGTGCTTGGGAGGGACGGGTCTTCAGGGAACCTGATGCGGGAAGGAAGGCGTAGCGGGCGCCTTCTACCTCTCTGTGCTGCTCTCTCTCTGCCTGTCAACCTCCTCTCCCTTCTGTCTGTCTATGTGTCCCTCTCTCCTTCCCTCCCCCCGGGAAGCTGGGGCTGACGGAAAAGCAGGCAGTGGTTTGCAGGGCTGCAAGGTGGGACAGAAACCCAGCCCGTGCGGCGACATCGGGAGTAGATGGAGACGCGAGTGAACAATGGAAAGTTGGTAGAGGACCTGCCGTGCCTTGGCACGCAGCACCGCCAATTGTATTTCTTTTGGGCACGCACATGGGTCTATTGTCAAAGGTGCCAGGGCTGGAGGCCAGGGTGGCCAGCAGGGTGTGGGCAGGCTGGTGGGCTGTCGCCGTGACCTATTCTGGTGCCTGCGGTCACGTGGGGCCTTGTGGGCGCTACCAAGTGGGCATGGGGTGGCCAGCCACTCCTCTTGTCCTTAAAAATAGAATGCCACCGCCTCTGGGGACTGAGGGGCGTGCAGGGGAGGGCGACGTCTTCCACTGGTTTTTGCCTCTTGGTGAAGAGGATGCTTGTTCTCCAAGGATAACTTCCTGTGGGCTGTTATGGGAGAGCCAGACTGTGGATGTTCACCTTGTTGCAACAGCAGGGTGTAGAGGTGTGTGTGTGTGTGTGTGAGAGAGAGAGACACGCACACACACACACACCCCCAGGTGTGTATGCAAGAGACGGAGACTAAGCCTTAAGGAATCCCCAGCCTTCCCCAAGCCGTCCCAATCCTGTGTCTGAGCCACAGTGCCCACCAGCTGGAGGTCACTTCCTAAGGGGCAGTGGGCCCCAGAGAGGGGCCAGGCTGAGCTCTGCCCCTGCAGTTAGAACCTGGCCTCCTCGCTGTCCCCCGTGCCGGCCAGGCACCCGTGGGTCCCGCGTGGTCCGGGGCGCCTGTATGCACTTCTCCAGTCGGGCAACGCGGCTCTCCTTGACGGGAATCCAACCCACACGCGGAGCAAACCCACAACATGCAAACACCCTGAACCTCTCTCGGCTTTTCTTTAGCAGCACCTGCGTCTTGGAACCTTCTGTCAGGAGGAGTGAGGGTGGAAGGACGCCGCTGGGCTCCGTCCTTGCTGCACGCAGTCCTACCCGTGTGTTTTGCTGTTTGCCTCACCCACTGGTGCGCTTTTGTGGTTTTCATTCCGCACTTCTGCCTGTGAGCTGGGCACGGAGGGGAGGCTCCCGAGGCGCAGACATGCTGAGTCACAATCGCAGACACACGGTTTGTGGTGATGTGGGCATTTCAGCGCAGGTAGGACGGAGCCGGTGAAGACGCCGGGGCTTCTGCCCGACTTAGCCACGCCCGCAGTGGCTCTTAGACAGCCCACCTGTCGGGGAGGAACCCTCCGCTCAAGACCCAGCTGCAAAGGGACGGCCGAGTCCCCGGGGCGGCCCCTGGAGATAGAAGGAGGAAAGTTGCATACTGGGCGTCTGTGAGCATTCTAGATCAACCGATTGCCCAGAAATCCGGATGGTTAGGAAGAAATCTCAGCTTAGTGTTGCTGCAAAATCTTTCAGAGCAGGGAAGCCACACTGGGGGGTGTCTGGGCTGAACTGTGATTTCCGAGCTTGAGAAACACAGGCTCGGAGCAACCGGACGGCTCCCCGGACGGGAAATGATGTGCAAGCCCGTTCTCCGCACTTCTGGTCCACACGACCACGCTTGGTGTATTCCCGTGTTGACGGACAACGTGCTGCTAAAACAAAATAATAGGTTTTGAGATAATTATAGACTCCCGGGCCATTCCAGAATCCGTGCCCAGCGTCCCGTGCACCCTTCACGGAGCTTCCCTCTGTGGCGACATCCTTGGTGACAGTATCAGAACCAGGACGTCGGTGTCGGTACCATCCTGCCGAGAGGTCACAGACCGTGTTCGGTGCCCCTTGGTTTTTGCAGGCTCTGCTCTGAGTGTGTGGGGGGGGCTGGAGCTGCCGTTCTGTGCAGTTTTATCTTGTGCTGTTATTTGGCAGCCAACACCCCCAAATCGAGGACAGAACTAATTCCCTCAACACAGACTGGTGGCTTCTGCCTCTCACCTGTTATTTACTATTGCACAGAATGCGTTGGGCAAGTTGCATTTCCCTTAAGACCCACGACACCTTCCTTCACAAATGACTAAGTATAGACGGCGCTCTCCCAGGTACTCGGAATCGGTTTCCTCCACAGTGATAGGGTTTTCTCCTGTGCTTTCCCCCACCAAATTGGCCGTGGGTTCGCTCCGTCTGACCTGGGCTCTTATTTGCCCCCAAATATCACACCAGCACACTTCCAGAAGGAGTGGACTTGGGAACCAGTGTGGTTTTGCTGGGCACATAAATGAGCGGTCGGTCATACCGGCGGTGTTGACATAAGCCATTATAAGGAAGTGCTTGTTGCTTAACAGTACACAGAAAATTGAGATTATCCTTTGATCCTGTCTGTCCGTCAGGGGCGCGCGGCAGGGTAACTTGCGAACGCATGCGAGCGGTGGTTTCCATTTGACAGCATTATGGGAACTTCAAAAATGAGATGACATATTAGAAAAGAGAGTCTTCCCAAGGACAGAAGTCCTACACGTTGTTCCCCTCCATTTTTAAAAAATTCAGATAAAATTCACCTAGCATAAAATGGACCCTTTTTCAGTGAGCCATCCGTCTGAGTTTCGTACGTTCAAAAAGCTGCACGACCAGCACCTCCATCTACTTCTGAAACATTCTTGTCATGTCCCCAGAGGAGACCCAGTCCCCATGAGATGTCACTCCTTGACCCCTTCCCCCCAGCGTCCGGTGACCAGGAATATGCTGTCTCCATGGACTTACCGGTTCTGTGTGCTTCATTCTACGAGTACTTCTTCCTTCTCCCTTGCCATCTCCAAGGGCGTGAGGGTCCAGTGGGAAGAGAAAAGAGAACATGGGGAGATGCAGAGCCCAAATTTCCCCGATCAAGACGTAAGGGAAAAACTCACCCAAAAGATCAGATGGACAAACCGGGAATAAAAAAATGTGCAGCGGGAATGATGAGCAAAACACATGCTCACAACTTCTACTGTCCTGGGGTGAGTAGAGCCCCCCTCCCCCCACCGAATTCATGTCCTCCCTCTCAGAACTCAAATGGGACCTTAGTCAGAAGTAGGCTCCTTGCAGTTGCAATTAGTTAAGGATTGAGATGAAGTCCATTGTACTCGGGTGGCCCTAAATCCAATGACAGGTGTCCTTGTAAGAGACAGAAGAGGAGACATAGATACAGAAGAGAAGCCGCGTGAGGACAGAGGCAGAGACGCGGACAGGTCACAAGCCCAGGGATGCCTGGAGCCCCAGAAGCTGGAAGAGGCAGGAAGGACCCTCCCCTGGAGCCGCTGGAGGGAGCTTGGCCCTGCCCTGCCTGGATCTCAGCGGTCCTGCCCCGCCTGGATCTCAGCTGCCCTGCCCCGCCTGGATCTCAGCTGCCCTGCCCTGCCTGGATCTCAGACTTCTGTCTCCAGAGCTGGGAGGAAGGCATGAATTCTTGTTGTTTTAAGCCACCATGTGGTGGCAGCCCTGAACCACCTAATTAGAAAACTAATACACCTGCCAGAGAGGATTGCAGAGCTGATGTCTAGGCTGCTCTAGACCATGGTGCCTTAGGTCCACGAATTGGTTTCCCCAAATCCTTGGAGGTGCACAACATCCAACTACAAGTTGGATGATGCTTTCCATGGGCGGCCTAATCCTAGAGATAGCGTGTGGATGTGGTTAACACAGGAGATCCATGTGTTTATTTTCGAAGACAGGGCATCCGGATCTCACTGCTTGAGGATGGTCATCCCCAGAGCTAGATGGAATAGAGCCAGGAACTTGCTCTTCTTCTGTCTCTACTTCTGCTCCATTGCAACCATCCCCTTCCCCCCACAAAGCAGCCAGGTGAGGCTTGCACATGCTGTCTACTTCATCTCATCACTCCCTTTTGCAAATGCACAGCTTTCCCGCATTGCCAGACCAAGGGGGCGCCATCTTGAATCAGTTTTGACCTTGGGCTGCCATAACAAAATACCATCAACCAGGTGGCTCATAACACAACTTTATTTTTCAGAGCTCTGGGGGCCAGAAGTCTGAGGTCAGGATGGCAGAGCATGAATGGGCTCTGGTGAGCGCTCTCCCTGGCTTATATGTGGCCACCACCTTGCGCTGTGTGCTCGTATGGTGGGAAGGGAGATAGGAGAAGCAAGCTTCCTGGTGTCTACTATAAGGGAACTAAGTTCATCATGAGGGACCCCATTCTCATGGCCTCGTCTAATCTTAATTACGGCCCAAAGACCCGCTTGCATGTGTAAATAATATTATATTGGGAGTTAGTGCTTCATTGTATGAAACCGGGGAGGGGGGCGGTGGCACAAACATTCAGTCCACAATACTCAGTTTTACTCCTCGTTATGTGTTGTCCTGACTTCCTTCTCCTGATCTCCCATCTTTGGGGTGCAGGTGGCTGCCCTAGCAGCAGACTTCCCTCGTCTCATCCTGGAATCCGCAGGGGAGGACGCCTCACTCCCCGTGTCTGTCTGGGACAACCCTCCTTGTCCCTGCTTGCGTCACCCCCGTGGGTGGGGGCATGGCACCATGATGGTGGTCTCAGATCTGCTTCCTGGGTGAGTGCCTCCTCAGCTGGGGACAACCCGGGAGGCTGCCTTTGTCACTGGGAGACATGAACACGTCCTGGGTGCCAGCAAGCGTTGCCGCTTGGGTTCACTGATGATGATTCTGACCGCAGTGTTCTTTCTGAGAGATTAACATGTTATGATTTCTCTGAAAACCACTTTCAGTCTCTGGGAGGGACACTGTGGGGCTCTCTCTGTATTTCCCCCAAGGTTTTTTTTCAGATAACCACAATGTCATGACCTTCACCACCCTTGGGAGACTCATCTTTTCCTTTAAGATTTTATTTGACAGAGAAACAGCGAGAGAGGGAACACAAGCAGGGGGGGTGGGAGAGGGAGAGGCAGGCTTCCCGCCGAGCAGGGAGCCCGATGTGAGGCTCGATCCCAGGACCCCGGGACCATGACATGAGCCAAAGGCAGGTGCTCAACGACTGAGCCACCCAGGCACTCCTCATTTGTTTCTTTGGAACTCTATACCTGCTGTTTCTTGGTGGGAAGGGGAGTAAAGTACTGGATAACTAAGGTTGGCGGCCTCGTGATTGTAGACGGGGTGGGGGCCAGGCAGAGTACTGTCCTCTCCCTTGATCTCACAAGGATGTGCACAAGGGGAGCTGGCTGCTGGCGTTTGGGGTTTTCTGCGCCCCTTCTCGGCACCGTCTGCTAACTGTTGGCAGCACGGCAGTCCCCTGCCCTGTGTCGTCGTCCTCCCCCGTGGTGCTCGTGTTGTGCAGTGGGGCAGCAGGGTGGGGGCGGAGACGTCTCCGGGGCTGTTTGCTCGCTGGTGTCTTTTGGCAGGGGTCGTTCCTTTCCCCAGGATCACATGGCTCGCCATGACATCTCAGTGCCTCGCTGCAGAGCTAATGGGTTGTATCGTGATGTTCGGCATGGCCCCTGTGCCATAGAGGGTGGCTGCCCGTAATGCCATCATCCATTCATTTATTCACTCCTACATGGGCCGGTTGGCGTGTCCCCGCTGGGCCGGGACCTTCCCGGAAAGCCTGTAAGTCCCCCGTGTTGGGAAATCCCCAGGCCCAGGCACCTCAGGACGGTAGTTGTCCCTGCTCACGCTGGATACTGGGGAGCAGCTACTGAACGCCAGCCTGCTCTCTGGACGTGGCAGGTCATGGGGAACTCAACACAGGGGTCCCTGCTTCTTGAGTTTACGTTAGGCTGAGAGAGGTGGATGGTGGGTACGGGGTGTGACACATGCATTTGGTGGTTGCTTCGAAGGCCGTCAGAAGTCTGGGGAGCACAGAGCAGCGCCGTGGGGATTGGAGCAATAGCTATCCGAGAAGGGGTCGGGGCACGCTGCCATGTGCGGGAGGTTACGGGGTCTGCCCTTCCCAGCAGGAGAGGTTTGGTCAAGTCTTGGAAGATGAGGAGGGGGCTAGCCGTGGGGACACCCTAGGAGGACTGTGGGCACAGTGGCTGCTTCTCAGCTTTGAGCGGCAACAGTATCCCCTGCAGGGCATGTGTGAACACAGATGGCCGGCCCACCCTACAGACTGACACCCCAGGATGGAGAGGGGCCTGAGACTCTGCATTTCTAACCAGCCCCCATGCTGCTCCTCTTCTGCAATGCGCTTTGGAGCTACAGGGTGACCTCAGAGCCCACCGGGCATGTGCTAGAAGCTCTCAGAAGGTTCCTGTGGCTGGTGTGGGACGGAGCAAGCAGAGACGTGAAGATGCAGAGCTTCCCTGCAGGGCTTGTGATGTGTGTGTCCTCAGGTCGGCTTTCCTGGATGCGTGTTCAAGGAGAAAGGTGGGCAGGGGGAGGGTATGTTCTGTGGTGTCTCTTCTTACAAGGACACTTAGAGGTGGTCTGTAGGATGAGGGCCCCACCCTGATGACCTCATTTCACCTTAATCCCTTCTTGGAGGTTCATCTCCCTTCCACATACAGTCACACGGGGATTTAGGCCTTCAAGGCATGATTTTTTTTGGGGGGGGTGCAGACAGACACAGACATTCAGTCTGTAACAGCGGCTTAGAGAACAGTCATGTATAACTCCCAGGTTTTTGGGTTAAATAATTAGAAAACTGGCACTGCCATCAGGCAACGTAAGGAGGGCTCTGGATGGAGCAGTGTTTGGGAGAGAAGATCCCCACATCATCACTGTCACCTTTATTCATGTCTCTCCCTCCCACTTGCCCACATTCTACCTCCTCCACCATATTGATCGTCTTAACCATCGTCGTCATGACCATCCTCATCATCATCACCGACATCCTCATCATCATGACCATTGTGACCACTATCCCCGTCACCACCTTCATCACTACCTTCCGTTCAACACCTGCCCACATGCTACCACTCTCTACCATCTTTCTCACCAACACCATCGTCGTCATCATGGCCATCATGACCACCATCATCATCATCACCAACCCTATCCTCGTCATCATCACCACCACCACCACCTTCATCACCACCTTCCCTTCAACGCCCGCCCACTTCCTACCACTGTTCTCCCATCTTCAGCATTATTTCTACCATCATCATCACTTCGGGCACTCACTTTTTCTTTGAAATTCACATAACATAAAATTGTTCTACAGTGAACAATTTAGGGGCAGTTAGCACATCCACAGTATGCAAGCATCCCTTCCATCTAGTTCTTAAACACTTCCATCAGCTCCAAAAGAATACCCTGTACCCATTACACCTGTGAAACTTTTAATGCATCAGAGATACCTCCGTCCCCTTGGAGCTCCCATAATGCGGTAGTCTAGCGTCACCCCAGGTGGATTTGGCTCATCAGCTCAGAGGATCCTTTTATGACAAAGGACAGAAGACTACGGTAATAGTGTGAGGACCATCTCTCTGCTCATCCTGGTAGTACCTCTCCCTCCCATCCTCTTGTGCATCACCACCTACCCATCACTCTTTCTTTCTCTCCGGTCAATTGTAACTGTCACATAAAGGTGTTGGGACTTAGATTTAAGCGATGCCCACCAGAACCCATCAGCTCGAAAGGTTCTTTGTTCATTCAAGTAGCACCTTTCCCAGACCTCTGCATGGGCGGTGGGCATTCTTTCTTCCTTGAAAAGGGAGAGCCCCTGCAGATCAGAGGTGTTGCTCATTCCCGGGGATGCTCTGTGCAGCTCCTGGTGCCTGGATGTCACGTGTTCCGTTCCGGTGGATTTCACGCTCCACTGAGAAGGGAGACCCTCTATCCCATCTGCTGTGATGTCTGTGTGACCGGGTGTATGCAGCTGGGTCCCTCCATGTCTTGGGAAGTCACCTTTGGTGACCATTCTGGGTGGTCAGGCAGCCCCACCAACTTTCTAATTCTGTTTATTTTATTTATTTATTTATTTATTTTTAAAAAATTTTATTTATTTATTTGAGACAGAGAGAATGAGAGACAGAGAGCATGAGAGGGAGGAGGGTCAGAGGGAGAAGCAGACTCCCCGCCGAGCAGGGAGCCCGATGTGGGACTCGATACAGGGACTCCAGGATCATGACCTGAGCCGAAGGCAGTCGCCCAACCAACTGAGCCACCCAGGCGCCCCATGTTTATTTTTTTTTAGAATTTTTTAATGGTAGTGATATGGCATAGAATTCACCATTCTAATAAATTTTAAGCATACACTTCAGTAGCATTAAATAATTCACACTTTTGTGTGAACATCACCACTGCTTGCCTCCGACACTTTTCCGTCACCCCAAACCGAAACCCCACACCCATTTAGAAGTCACTCCCCGAGGGTCTAGTGTCCTCAGCTTTTTTCTGTCCCTATAGCTCATCCCTGTTTCATGACCTGCCTTTCTTATTCTTTTGCTGCTGGAGGCTGGTCCCCCCGTCAAAGCTCAGGAACAGGGGTCTGAGCATTGAAGAACCAACATAGTGTATGGGGTTGGCACTCAGGTTCCCGGGTTGAGTGACTGGGACAGAAACCCTGCCTCTCGGCCATCTCTGTGTTCACTAAATGGGGCAGGGCTTCATGATGCATGTGGACCTGGCTTTCCATCCCGCCATTTTCCCCACACAGTCCTCGAGGAGGCGTCCGTGAAGGGCTCAGACCCACAGTGGTGGAGGTGGTCCTTCGCCTGGATGTGCTTCTCCACATACCTTGGCAGGTGCGTGTTGTGTTTTATTCCGTCCTTTGAGGATGAGTGGGGAGCTTCAGCCTGGAGCACCTGTGTCTCCTGTCCTTTGTGCATCAACCAGGAAGTAAGCATGGCCTCACCAAAGCAAGCTTCGCCATCATCATCATCATCATGATGACCGTCCAGTCCCAAGCATAGTGGAGGTTCATCACTTCAGGGATGGATGGTGGTGGTATTTGCTTGGATTTGGAGCTTATTCCGTTCAGTAGACCTGGAGTCTTCTGGCTAGGCTTGTCTTGAGGCTGCTGAGAGCCTTCACCTCCCACCCCACCCCTGCACGGGACACCTCCTTCTGCTAGCTCTGGGTTTTGGGAGTCAGGGTGCAGGGCAGGGTCCCAGAGGCACTCCCCTGCAAGGTCATGTTCACTTGTTCTCCTGCTGTGATCTCTCTCATGGACTTTCTCCCCATATTGCTCTCCTATGGCTGCTCTAACAAATGACCCCAGGCCTAGTGGCTTAAAACAACATGCATTTTTTAAATCCCGCAGCTCTGCAGGTTAGGGTGGTGGGTGTTAGTGGGTCAACATCAAGGATCAGCAGGGCTGCGTTCCCTTCCAGAGGCTCCGGGGGTCCTTGCTTCCTACAGCTTCTAGATGTCGTCGCCCTTCTTCGGCTTAGGATGCCTTCATCCTTCTGTGGGGACAGCAGAGTTGGGTCAGATCCTTCTCATGCTGCCATGTCTCTGTCTATGGTTCTTTCACCCCTCCCTCTCTTGTGACGCTTGTAAGGACTCACCCGCATCACCGAGGACCATCTCCGTATTTCAAGTCAACTACTGAGCATTTGTAAGTAGCACCTGGAACATCGGTTCTCCCTTAAACTAACATAGTCACAGGGTCTGGGGATTGGGATGTTGACGCCTTTTGGGGGGGAGGCGTTGTTCTGTCCACGGCACCTGCTTCCTGTGTGTGCTTTGCATGCCTCACCTTAGAAGTGGCTTCTAAGAGTGGGCTTCAGAGAGTAGTGTTGGGTGCGGTGGGGTGGGGAGGGCGGCTGCACTTGTCCAACTACACTGGCTTTCGTCAACGGACAAACCACATTAACGATAAAAAGCTCTTCCATTAGGAGGAAAGATGCTAGCTCCGACTAGCTATGCATACGGCTGTAAGGTGTGTGTGTGAGAGAGAGAGAGACACAGAGACAGAGGTGGGAAGACAAGTGATTCATTGAGTTAACTGAGCAGCTCACACCTGTCCCCTCCTCTGCCTGGCCAGAATCCTGTACGAGGACTCATTGCCCCCTCTCTGGGACCCGTCCCCTGCACTGGGCAAGCAGAACCAGCTCTCATGTTACAAGGAGCCCCGGACATGGGATGGCTCAAAGCTGGGAAGGCACAGCTTTACCTTCTGGAAGCTTGAGTCCGGGCCCAAATGCACAGTCAGAGGGGAGGCTCTGAACCGGGCCTGGGGTGCTCTGTCCAGGTCACCACATGGCATCCCAGAAGCAGAACTTGTATCCACCTGGAGGATCGAGATAAGGAACACAGACACAGGATTGTTTGCAAGGAGTCTCGAGCTTGTTGATTAATTAGGTAACACATGCGCTTTTTTTTTTTTTTGGTAAACTTGGCAGGCTCTTTTCTGAGAGAGCTCGTGCAAGACTAATAAAACCAACACAATGAAAGCTTCTAAGCAGCTCATTCTGGGAGCGTTCTCCCTTGCTTCTCATGGGTAGGGATCTCCGATTGTATGCTGGGCGGGGTGGACAGGAGGGTACACTTTGGCTTCACCATTAGGGCACTTAGATAGGAGTCCAGTTGGCATTTGGAGTACATCTGAATAGCACAAAACGTGATAGATACCTCTCCACCGAGGCATTTGAAGTTGTCCAGTGATTTCTCCATGGAAGCATCCTGAGTTTCCAAGGCGGAGTGCCCCGTATCGAGGGTGGAAGTGGGTGCGTGTTCCAGGGGGAGATTCCTTCCTCCTGCTCCCCATGTGCCCTGAGGAGGCCAAGTGGAGATTCTTCAGGGTGGGAGGCCCCCACAGCCCTGAGCGTCCCGTGTCCCAGTGTAGGAGTTAACTGTAGGACACCTCTGAGTAGTCCTTCTGGACCCTTAGCTCAGCTCAGGTGTCCAGTGGCCCCCACCCCCAACACCGGTTTGCACCTTCCCACCCTGTTCAGTATAGGCAGCCTGCCAAGGCTAGATCCCAGGCGTCCCGGGACCCTGCCTAACTGGGCAGTTCCGTGTTTGAGAGAAACATGCACCTTGGGCGCAGTGTCTTCTGTGTTGACCTTGCTTAACCCCACTTCCACGCTTGGAAATCCATACTGGTTTTTCCAGCAGGTAACAGAAGGAGGAGACTGTCCCACAGACTCCTTGCTGAAATCAGCACGAGGTCCCAGCAGGGAATCACACCCAATGTCACGTGGGCAGGTGTCGTGGGCAGGCGTTAAGAGTCCTTGTCTTGAGGTGGTTGGTTTGCAAACAGTTCTGATGAAGCAGCTCATCAAGGACGTTTGCAGGGCAACCTCTAGAGAGTTCTTTTAAAGTGGTTGACGATTAATTTGGTGGATGATTTCATCCCGCTGGATCATTATCTTGGGAGCCACTCCACAGAACAAAGGGCTGTGCAGATGTGGGGCTGGGTGTGGCTGGACAACAGCCCGGGCTCCGGAGAAAGAAGGTCTTTGTCATGCCTGGGGCCCCCCCGGGATGTGAGCGGGGAGGGCAGCCAGAAGCGGGGCTGGGTGTGCGCCCAAGCGTGCATGCGTGTGGCTGTGTGTGCTCACGTTGGGGGCGTGTCTCTGGGCAGTCCCCCAGGAGGATACTGAGCCAGCCGAATGTTTGCGGACAACTCCAGAGGAGGAAATCATTCTGCAGAGATCGAAAATCCAGGAAGGGCATTAAGAAGGCAAACTGCCTAGAATGTTCTCTTCTCGGGCACTGGATTCCATTATCATTCCACCTTAAGAAAAAAGCAATATGTGTAGAAAAATAAAATCGGGAACGACTCCCTATTCCCTGCACACTCGAGCATAGTTGTTGTCAGGTATTTGACTTAGGAAGACTTTTCTTTGCTCGGTCCTTAAACAGTTCAGTATTTTATTTTGATGACAGAATCTGGAGTGTCCATTGTATTGGTCTTTTCAAAGAACCAGAGTCTTCTTTCTTTGATTTTTTTTTTTTTTCTTCTCTTTTCTTTCTCCTCTGTTGATTTCCTGTTCTTCATTTCACTGATTTCTGCTTTCATTTTTGGTCTGTCTTCTGCTTGCTGGTCTGGTCTTTCCCTGATTTTTCTTCCTACAGTGTGTGAAGAACACAGGTCACCAGTCACCTGCTGCGGAAGCGTGTCTCCAGAATGCGCTGCATTTCAGGATGGCTGCTCTGAGTTCTGGGGGCTTGTCTTCCTTCAAAAGGAAAATCTGGGGACACCTGGGTGGTTCAGTGGGTTAAGCGTCTGCCTTCAGCTCAGGTCAGGATCCCAGGGTCCTGGGATCGAGTCCCTCATTGGGCTCCCTGCTCAGCGGGGAGTCGGCTTCTCCCTCTCTGCTGCTCCCCCTGCTTGTGCTCTCTTTCTGTCTGGCAAATAAATAAAAACTTAAAAAACATAAAAAAGGAAAAGTTGAGTGACGTTGCAGTGCAGATTGAGCGCAGTCTGGGTGTTAACTAGAGAATGCTACACAGAGGTTGGGATGCTCTCGGCAAAGCCATCAGTGGGAAGGTTGGACAGGTGGCTGCATGGTCTGGATTCTTCACTTCCTGTATCATCAGGTGGGGGTTCCCGACTTTTGTGAAGGTGAAAACCTACTTCTTCATTTAGTGGATCACTTACTCTGTGGCGTGCTTTTCCCCTTGCCTTCATTAGTGCATGGGACGGGTGCACGCGGTAGTGAATGGAACATACACAGGCGTGCACACACCCATATACAGTGAAAGGTGTTTTGGCTGTTTGGGTGGCAACCCTTGAAAACACTTGCAAACACTGATTCTTGAGATTCTGGCACACAGTGCGCTTAAACCGGAGACTGGCTGCCATGTTGTTTGGGAAAACAACCTCCTTTTCCAAAGCTTGCTGCCCGCCCGGTGTTCTTGACGAGTGGGTGGAACAGCTAGTTCCCAGCTCTGCTCCAGAAGCTGGTTTGTCAATTATTCCTCCCTAACGTCATTTTTCCAGAAACAGTGTCACATACCACAGTTGGGGTTCCAGGCTCCTTAATTTGTTAGCATAGTAAAGATGCCTTACCTGTAAGGAGCATCACATGGCGCTAGGAAAACGTAAAACACGATTCTTATGAAAGTTGGGGTTCCAGGCTCCTTAATTTGTTGGGGTTCCAGGCTCCTTAATTTGTTAGCATAGAAAAGATGCCTTACCTGTAAGGAGCATCACATGGCGCTAGGAAAACGTAAAACGCGATTCTTACGAAAGTAGCGATTCGGCAAAGGAATAACTCAGTCGTGGGAGAAGCAGCAGTGTTGGATGTGGATGGTTGACAGAAGGCAGGTTTCCCATAGAGGAGGCAATAAGACAGGGGGAGCGGTTCATCAGGACTCTTGAGGAATCTGGATAGTGTCTCTTAATTGACTTTAGTTTTTCTGGCGTTGAACTTCGCATCCCAAAGGGGTGGCATGTAGTTGTTGGATACGGGTCTGACTTTTCACGGACCCACCACGATCAGGCTCACGTGGAAATGTGCCTTGGGTCAAGAACATGCTGTGTGGCTCCAGCCGGGCGAGAGTCAGGCACGGGACGTAGCAGATGGACCCTTTCCTTGTCTTCTTGGTTCGTGTTGGGATCCCAACGTGCTTGCCGCGTACCTGGCTCACCTGCATGATGAGAAGATGAAGGATGGACTCTTACCCTAATGTAGGGACATGGGAGATAGTTTCCGGTTCCTCTCTTGGACCCTCAGGCCCCTTCCCTCCCGAAGCCTCCTGGGGGATGATGCAGGAGCGCCGTAGTCATTGGGGAAGGAGGATTGAGCGGTGGGAACTGGATATCCCTGGGGATGGGGAGGGAAGGGTGGAGGGAGATGGTTAGAGGGAAGCACATTTTCATCATGTTGTCCAAGGGCGCCTTGGATCCTAGAGGAAAAGTTGTGGCTTGAAGCGGGAACCCTTAGGAACACGGAAAGGAAGGCTTTCTACATCTGACTGCGATATATCTGGGAACACGTTCTTCACTCAAGACGTCATGATGCCCGGATTTAGTACATGGCGCTGTGACATGATCACAGAGTAAGCACCATACGAGAATGAAAAAGCACATCGTACAAGCTTACAAACTAAGCACTTGTGTCCTTTGCAGAGCAGAAACTAAAAACACGCTAAACCTACGTCTTTATCGTGTTTGGAGAATGGTGCCGTGTGCAAAACATTCCATTTAACGCCTCTTGAAAGACTTTGTTGGTTGCATGATGGGTTGCGACAGTGAGCTCATCGCTGAATCCAAGTAGTTCTCCAAGTGGGGGCCGGGGACCCATGGCGTTCCCAGGGAAACTTCTGGGGAGCTCATGGGGTCAAGCGTCCTTTTGTAGTACCATGAAGATATTATCTGTCCTTCTCTCTCTTTCTCTCTCTCTCTCTCTCTCTCGCCTGGGCGTGTGGTGGTTTCCGGAGGCTCCCTGAGCTGGGACGGTACCACCTCTGACCATCAGTGGAGTGTCCTTGCCCGCTGTTGTGTTTTAGACATTTCTGCTTTCCTTGCTAATATGGTTACTATCTCCAGAGAGTGACGCCCACGAGCAAACAGACATTGGTTACGATCCTCCATCTGTGTCTGAAGATCTGTGCCAAAGAATCTTGAGATCAGGGAGTTTGAGAACTGCTGTTTTAAACCAATGACCTGGTCTAAGAGGGTCTTGATTGAGCACCAACAGTGACTGATTCATGGTGATTCCTGTATCCAGAGGGTCTTCAGAGAATGAACTGCCTCATTGTGCCCCGAGAACGAGGCTTGAATTCTCATTTTTCATCTTGCTCCACCCAAGTGAAGTGGTCGCTTTGTTCAAAATTGAATCCTACTAATTGCATTGCTTCTTTGGAATTCTGGATGTCCCCATCGCAATGGGGGTTTGGGTTAGCTTCGCAAAGGCATCATTTAGACTGTTCTGAAAGTGGTTATTAGCACATCCCATGTGCAAGGAGCTGCAGAGTTTATCTGGGGGACATAAAAAGATGGGATGCAGTTTACATTTCCAAGAATCTTACTGATACAAATAACTAAGAAAAGGTCAGTGTGTTAAGGATTATAATCAAGGTGTCAAGAAGGAACTAAGATCTGATAGCAGATGTTCTGGGCTGAGTAGGGTTTGGGTAAACACAACTGGGGAGGAAGCGTGCAGCTTCTGGGCGTTTCAGGACCTAGTTCTCCTAATGCTTTCGCTGTCAGAGCCCCCAGCCTCACTCACATACGGCAACTTTCTGAGTCACTCTTTCTGGTATCCGTCTCATCCTTAAATGGGAAGAGACCGCAAACCCGGTGTTTATCAGGAGGTTACACTGTGTGAGGCATCGAGATAAGTAAAGACATGTGATCCCAGGAAAAGCAGATAATTCAAGGCGCCTAAGAAAAGACCGATTAAAACAAAAAGAGGAACACAGGAGACATTTAAAAAATAAGTCTTACTATGAAGCGGGGGAAATCGGAGGGGTGGACGAAGCATGAGAGACGATGGACTCTGAAAAACAAACAGGGTTCTAGAGGGGAGGGGGGTGGGAGGATGGGTTAGCCTGGTGGTGGGTATTGAGGAGGGCACGTTCTGCATGGAGCACTGGGTGTTGTGCACAAACAATGAATCATGGAACACTTCATCTAAAACTAATGATGTAATGTATGGGGATTAACATAAGAATAAAAAAAATAATAAAAAATAAAAAATAAGTCTTACTTTGAGTCCTGTTTTCAGGGAAGTTTGAGAAGATACCATTCCCGTCAACAAAAATAGGATGTGACAGCGAAAGAGAAACAGTTTTAAATGGGATTGCTGAAAATGTAAATAATTAAAAAAGAAAATTCCCCCAAATCAAAGGGTTCTCTTGTTCATGCCTCTGACTTCAGTTATCACCGTGGAGGTGTTGGCTCCCCGATGTGCAGCTCAGATCTAGACCTTTCTCTTGGGTGAGCACTGGAGGGCATGTCTCCAGAGCAATACCTGTTGGGAGGTCCATGTCTCCCTGAAAGCTAGGAGGCCCATTGTCATACCTTCCTATGGCTGTCCTAACAAATCTCTGCAAATCTGGAGGCTTACAAGAACAGAAATTTATGCTCCCACAGCTGTGGAGACCAGAGTTTGAGATCCAGGCGGGGCAGGACCACTGAGATCCAGGTGGGGCAGGGCCGCTGAGATCCAGGTGGGGCAGGACCACTGAGATCCAGGTGGGGCAGGGCCATCTTACCTTCCCAAGGCTCCAGGGGAGGGTCCTTCCTGCCTCTTCCAGCTTCTGGGCTCCAGGCATCCCTGGGCTGGTGGTCGTGTCCCTCCCATCTCTGCCTCTGTCTTCACGTGGCTTCTCCTCTGTGTCCGTGTCTCCTTTTCTATCTCTTACAAGGACCCTTGTCATTGAATTTAGGGCCACCCTGATCCAGGATGACCTCTTCTTGAGATCTTTGACTTTATTACATCTGCAAAGATGCTGTTTCCAAATAATACCACATTCACAGTACTAGGGTTCAGGACATGGACATACCTTTCTGGGGGGGACACAGTTCAACCCACTACACCCTTCATCCTCGACATGCCCACAGGGTGCCACATGGAACTGTTGAACCTTCTTCCCCCAAACCAAACAACTCAGCAGATCCCTTGCACACCTGCCAGGGTTTCTGGTCACTAACTGCTCAGATGCTGAACACCCCCCCACCCCCACATTCTTGTCCACCCTCCCTCTCCTGGCCTCACCCAGCTCGTCTTCTTGGCTCTGCATCTCCCTGTCACCACCCGCTCTTCACCCTTGGCTCTAGCCTCCGTCCTGATTTCTACCACAGCCCTCATACTACTGCCCTGGCTCTTCCTCGCACTGGCTTCTCCTCTGACATGGACATCTTTAAAGCAAAACAAAAGCATGCAGAAACCAAAGCCGTGACACACACAGGCGTTTCCTGGTGTCATTGTGTGATTCCCTGCTGCCCTTGGCATGAAGAACTCACTCAAAGGGTTTCACAGTGCCTCCCTTCTCTTGCTTTGCTCCCTAGTATTTCCTCCCTGCTCCCAAATCCCAGTGCTGTGTGGCTCCTGCCTCATATCCTTTACTTCTTCCCAATCACCCTACAAAGTAGCCTTCAGTCTGCCCCACTCTCCAGTGTCCATTTGAAACTTCCTCAAAAGGAAACGTCTTGGGCGCCCAGGTGGCTCCGTCGGTGAAGCGTCTGCCTTAGGCTCAGGTCATGATCCCAGCGTCCTGGGATCGAGTCCCACATCGGGGAGTCTGCTTCTCCCTCTGCCCCTCCCCTCCGTTCATGATCTCTCTATCACTCTCTCTCAAATAAATAAAATTCTAAAGAAAAATGTCTTTTCTGACCCTTAACCAAAGTAAGGTCCATTCGTTTCTTCCTCTACACACCTGTCTTACCAAGTCATCAAACCTGAGCAAGCTCCTGAAACCCAGATGAGCTCATCAATGTTCTTAGAGCTATTATAATTAATGCTTACTGTCTACCTTTCCGGCCCGATTGTAACTAACCGCAGTGAATGTGGGAACCAGCCTTATGTTCATTGCTGCTTTGGAGTCCTACAAAACACCTGACACACAGTCAAATACCATTAGCGGGGGAAAGAGTGCCGAACCTCATTATATTGACTGGGTCTTCGTTCAGAGAGTGAGGTCATATTCATTCCACGGACTGCCTGACTCATTTGTGGTCAAAGATGGAGTTTTCTAAATATTTCTGACCTGGCAGTTGACCCTGATAACAAGAACTGAGTGTGAGCTGAATGGTAGAACTTTAAAGCTGTCCAATATGGTGGCCGCTAGCCCCATGGAATACAATAAGGGTATTGTCTCAGGAGCTGCATTTCTTTTCTTTTCTTTTTTTTAAAGATTTTATTTATTTATTCATAAGAGACAGAGAGAGAGAGAGGCAGAGGGAGAAGCAGGCTTCCCGATGCGGGGCTCTATCCCAGGACCCTGGGATCATGATCTGAGCCGAAGGCAGACGCTTAACCATCTGAGCCACCCAGGCGCCCTCAGGAGCTGCATTTCAAATCCTCAGGAGCCCCCTGTGAGCGCGTAACTACTGAGTGGACAGCGGGATGTAGAAGGTTCCTGCCCCATGGAAAGTTCTTCTGGGCATTGGGTCCTAACTGGGGGTGATTCTACCCCCACTGGACACTTGGCAATGTCTGGGCATTGTTGATGCTCATAACTGGAGTTTGGGAGGCCGGGATGAGGGCATTTGGTGGAGGAAACTCTGCCTTAGCGAGAGAGATTCTCTCATTTGTCTGTCCCTCCATCCCTCCATCCCTCCCTCCCTACCTCCCGCCATCCCTCCATCCATCCCTCCCTCCATCCATCCCTCCATCCCTCCATCCATCCCTCCCTCCATCCCTCCCTCCCTCCATCCCTCCATCCCTCCATCATTCATCCATCCCTCCATCCATCCCTCCATCATTCATCCATCCCTCCATCCATCCCTCCATCATTCATCCATTTATGCATCCATCTATCATCCATCGATCATCCCTCCACCCATCCATCCGTCCGTCATCTGTCAATCATCTGTCATCTTATCATCTGGCTGTGTGTGGCATTTCAAGGGTGACAGTGACATTCCATCCCATCCTGGATGCAGTGTAGGGCTGCGTCTTTAACCTGGCCAGCTTTTATTGGGAACGTGTGAAGACCCACCTTTGTTCTTTTTGGTGAAGCCTCACGGGAGTGACATTCAGAGCTGCAGATATCGTGCTTACAGGAACACCAAAGCTGAGCCAGGAATTCCAGGCATTTCCCTTGTGGGACATCTGCTTGTGTTGGGGGTGGGCGAGAACTTCCTGTGTTTCTTTATTCCTTTGGGATTATCCGTTCTGTATCTTTGATAGGGGACAGGGTAATTCAGTAAATAACTTGTAAATAGGAGAGTTTTGGTTCCAAAATGTCTCTTCTATTTTTATCTTTTAAAACAGGACAGTGTGAAATCGAATGTTGCTTGACTCAGCAAAATTTTGAGGGCGTTATTTGTTTAAAAAAGCCAAAAAGCCATCTAGACAAGGAAACTCACAAAACAGCCCCCCTCCCACCCAGGGCTGAGTTGAATTAGGACCAGTTTTTTTTAGCTGATCTTTGAAGTATATATTCCAAGTTAAAAAAAGAATCTTGATGAGATTATCCAAGCCGTACTTCTCTTCTGTAACTTTTGCACATTGAGATGTAATTCACAGGTCATAGGAGTCACCCTTTCAAAATGTCCAGTTCTGTGTTTTAAGTTCAGTCACAGAATTGGCACACATTTTTTTTTTTTTTAAGGGCCTTTTTCCCATAAAACAGAACTTGTGTGCAACAAGAATTTTAAAAACTGGCTTTTGGAAGGAGGATTGCATGCATTAGGCATTTATCATTTCATACATTGTAGCTCATAATCTTTTCTGACATTACCAAGACGGGGAAATACCAACGAAAACAAGTGAGTTTTACAATGATGAATTCATGCATTGTGGTATAGAGATGGGGTCGCTTATACACGATTTTATTTTTTTACAATAAATGCAGTACGGTACTGTAAATCTGTTTTCCCTAGGATTTTATTAATCACCTTTTCTTCTCTGTAGCTCACTTTATTGTAAGAATACAGTAAATAATACATAGAACATACAAACTATGTGGGAATCAGTTGTTACAAGTAAGGCTTCTGGTCAACAGTGTGGGCTGTTGGTAGTTAGGTTTGGGGGGAGTCAGAAGTTACATGCGGATTTTCAACTGCATGGGGGGTCGGCACCCCTAACCCCCGCGTTATTCAAGCGTCAGCTGTATTTTGCTGTAATTCCTTAATGCATCAGTTTCATTTAATAGATCACATAAATTTCGCTATTATGTAGATAAAACATTTCTATAGTTCACAGATTAAAAAAGAAATTGCGAAAATTATGCTGTGAAATACATCTCTGTTTTTGTCCCCTGTCCTGTCCCATGACCACCACCCCCCCCCCCCCGCCCCCAGGATCCATTTTAGCGTTCTGTATCTTTTTGCAGAACATCCTTTCAACACAGAGAAGCGACCATCGCTATGAAGAGGGGGACAGACATTGTAATGACCAACAGAGTGCATACTTTTGGCCTCCTTAGGAATTGCATGGTTTTCAGTTGCCTTAAACATTTCCAAGCTAATTTCACCCATCCAGACAGTGCAGGAGATATACACCCTTGGCCTTGGCTGGATGGAGGGGAGAACGGATTCTGGAGAGCTTACGGCCAGGGCGTTCCAGGTAAAGGAGGTGCTTGCGAACACTTGGACCCCCCTCCACTCCTCCGCCTAGATTTCTCAGGATGTCCAGGTGACTCACCTGAGTCCCAGAGCCTTCCCACTGTGTAGCAGCCTCCCGTTAGGAGTCCGCTGAATTCCTTCAGACCACATCGAGCACCTGGTGAATGCAGGTCGTGTCATTTTCCACCAAGTCATGCACAGTTCCTGCATCCGGGGCCACGGGGCGGGGGGGGGGGGCGGTGAGGACAGGGGTGTACGATCCTCAGGCAGTCTTGGGTCCGAAGCACAGTCCAGATCCCTCGGTAGCTTCTTGGCTGGGGGGGTGTCACCCAAGAAGGGTTGTGGTCGATAAATCCTCACTACAGACCCCCATAGCACCTTCTGCATCTTAATATGCCACGCATGAGGAAGGAGGAGGAAGGAACGTGTTCCCTGGAAACCCAGTGCAGACCACAGTGGCCGGCCAAGCAGTGGGCGGAGGAGGGGGGGCTCTGCTCACTTCTGGGGGTGCCCCCTTTGATGTGTGGTTCTCCGCAGTCGGGGCACGCACCGAGAAGGCATGCACATGCTGTTCCTTTCCCACTTCTCTGCAGCCCTGCTGGGAAGCTCTCCCGGAGATTTCCCGTGCACCGTTGGCCTGTTGGCCGTCCCCTCTCCTGCATTTCAGGGGGGATGGGGTCTGCTGCACCCTCCATCCCTCCCCTGGAACTTGCCTGCCCTGTTTCCTTAGCATCTGGGATGCCCGTGGGATAGGACAGGGAGCATCCTAATTCAGGAGACACTGCAGGTTCGGAAGAGGTGCAGGACGGGGGTGACGACCAGCTGCATGGGTCTTTAACTCGGACATGGCTGTGCGTCCTTCTTGCATGTCAGGAGGGAGTCTCACTTCCCTTCCTAGCAGTAGCAGTTGGTGTTTTTAAGTGCTGTTGTTTGCATGTTAAGATTCTACACACGCATGCCGTACTGGGCGAAGGCTCTTGCAGGATGGGGGGTGCACACGGGCTCGGTCTTGCTCTGGTTTCTTGGTTTTTTCTCAGTGAGCTGTAACTCAGGAGTAGTTTTGACGGTCCCAGTGTTGTGTGGGCTGTTACTACACGAAGCAGGAAATTAATGTTATTGCCAAGTGGGTTTTGATGAAGTTTTACTTTCTGTTTGGGAAATAGGCTTAAAAAAGTAAATTAGTATCTGTCTCTCTGTTTATAAGCTAGTATCTTTCTGTCCATCTGTCCATCCATCTGTCCATCTGTCTCTTACCTATCTCTTTTATCTTCTCTATCATCTGTCAGTGTATGTACCAACCACCTATTTATTTGTCTATATCTGTATCTATTTATCTGCTGGCTGTCTTATCTTTCTATCCATTCATCCACCCTATCCATCCATTATTTATCTCATCTATACTTTTATCAACCATTTATCTATCTGTCAATCATCTGCCTGTGATCTATGTGTCTCTGTCTCTATCTCCGAGCTACCTATTATCTTTCCCTCCATGCATCCGTCCATCTGTTATCTGTCTCATTTATCTTATCAGTCAATCCATCTATGTGTCCATCCATCCATCCACCCACCCACCTATTCATCTGTCTATCCATCCATCCATCCCTCCCATCCATCCATCCATCCATCCCTCCATCCTTCCCTCCATCCCTCCCTCCATCCCTCCCTCCCTCCCTCCCTCCCTCCATCCATCCGTCCATCCATCCATCCGTCCATCCCTCCCTCCCTCCATCCATCCATCCGTCTATCCATCCATACATCCGTCTATCCATCCATTCATCCATCCATCCATCCATCCATCCACCCATCATCTATCTGTGGATCTGTGTAGCTATCATCTGACTGCATCAGTCTGTCTTTAACTCCTTTTGTGACCCTTCTTGCCCTGGAATCAGGGAACACGGTTTCTCTGTTACCCAATCAGAGTCCATTCTGTGGCACAGAATAAAACCCTATTGTCATATCTGGATTAAATAAATAAATGGAGTGGGATTTTATATTTTGGGTGTGCCTTTGGGGAGGAGGCGGGAGTCCTGAATACAGACACATTCAAATCAAACCCGATATCCATGTCTGTCTTTGTCTGTATTTACTTTTTCATTATTTTTTTTTTTTTTAAGCAAGCTGGGAGCCCAATGTAGGGCTATACCTGAGCTGAAATCAAGAGTCATACCCTTAACCGACTCAACCACCCAGGCCACCTCCATCTTTGTCTTTGTTTAAATAGAAATGCCTTCGTAATTATTTGTTTACATGTGAATACTTTTATATAATGGCAGTTTTGTGGGCTGATCTGCCAGGGGTTCTTTAGTTGGGATATATCATATCACTACCTTTTCCTTATTCTTCTCTTGTTCTTTTCCATTCCACAACATGTAAACGGGGAGGTCGTGGATTAGGTATTTAAAATCCTGCGCTAGGTTTGAATGCGCTTTTGGACCTGGGGTGTGTTGTGGTTCTTGTGTGTCCATTTGATTATGAGCTTCTTAGGAAATGAGAGACTCTCCCGTTTGTAGTTAGTTGTATGTTTATAGCAGAAGACATTGTGGGGCGCCCATTTCTGGGGAAACTCTGCTTGAAGGGAGGCTGGTGAGAGGCACCGTTCTGTCTCCGGGAGTGTGCATTGTGAGTGGGGACGGGGGACAGAATTCCATTTCGTTCTAGTCTTCGCAGTTCCCTGCAGTCAGTCAGGCTCAGGGGCACTGGCTAGGATGGACCCGTCAATAAGTGGCACTTGCTTAAAAAACTTACAGGGACAGCAGGAAGGACATCATGAGGAGTCTTTTACAGGAAACTACAGGAAATTCCTCTTTTCGCCGCTGTCAAAAAACAGTGAAGTTATTGAACTATATTTAGCAGTAGACTGAATGTGTGGTAAAAAAACAAAAACAAAAACAAAAAAACCCAGGGAAAATAAAAGTTAAAAAAGAAAAAAAATCAAAGTAACCTAAAAGAAACTATCCAGGAGGGAAAGAGTCATAGCAGCTGACTCGGAATCCTGTCCCTACTTTTTTTTTTTTTTGGTAGCAAAGGGAAGGTACACTCAGGTAAGAGAAAAGGAGGCAGGTGACCTGCTCCAATCACCTCTGACAATCACTGGACTTCCAACTAATCAGACTGAACAGGTGATCTCGGAGCAAGAGACATTTCTTACAGATGCCTTTAGCAAAATATCTGTGGTCAAATCGTGCATCTGTGGACTTAAGCGATACAGCTTCTTTTTTTTTTAATATTTTATTTATTTATTTTTAGAGAGAGAGTGTGCATGGGCGGGGGGCGGGGAAGGGCAGAGGGAGAGGGAGAGAGAATCCCAAGGAGACTGCATGCTAAGCACAAAGCCCGATGCAGGGCTTGACACGGGGTGTGATCCCATGACCCTGAGATCATGACCCGAGCCGAAACCAAGAGTTGGATGCTTAACAGACTGCGCTACCCAGGTGCCCTGTGGTAGGGCTTCTTGAAGATGATAACATAGGATACTCGACTAGGGTGTAAGATAGAGGTGATTTTTCTTAAAATTGTTTATGTGAAATAGTGTGACTATTAATAATTTAAGACTCACAAGACGTTGTAAAATACTACACAGGAGAGTCCCCATGTGCCCACCCCCAGAGATAATAACTTCGATAATCAGAGGACATCCATAAAACCAGGAACTGGCTTCTCTGTGATCCCGTTAACACCTGTGTGGACCTTATTTGGATTACACTGGAGGTCCTTTATGTGTTATTATTATTTTTTTACAAATATATGGAGGTGCTTTAAATGCTCTGTGTTGCATTCCCTGTGAAATCTGAGGTATTTAGGGCCAAAGGTGTTTATGCCAGGCAGGAACATAGGACCAAGATGCCACCCTGGGATCCAGCCTTCTCCT